GAAGTTGCTGTGGTGTTCAAACTAGCTGCTGATGTCTACCCCCATAATCACAGGTGTACCTGAAACGAGCTTTCTTTGGCCTTAGGGGATGTGTGAGCACAAGCGGCCTTATGGGGATTGTGGAAATATCCACATCTAAAACACCTGCATGCCCATTAAATGAGTCTTTATACTGAGGTAGCGAACTCAGGCATTGTTCTTATTCCCATTTCTAGGAAATGGTAGCAGCTTTTGTCAAGGAGGGTCACCAAACAGGACATCCAAGGCTGTTGCTTTCATCAGCTGTTTCAGGCGTCAAAGGTATCGTCGATACTGCATATGAAACTGCTGCCCTAGGAAGGTAATTCAAATATTTTCTACAAGGTAGCCAAAACAGTACAACTTCCTGCCTCCAAGGATATAACCAGAAGGCTACAGATTGCATGGCATATTGTCTATGTTTTGCGTTTATTCATACAGACCTAACTGCCACCAGGAGGTAATTATTCTGAAAAATAATTTGTGAAATATTCTGAAATTATTCTGGGTCTCTGTTTTCCTTTTTCCTATATATGTAAAAGAGTAATTCGATGGACTCGACCCCCAGGGTTAATTTGGATCCGAGCTCCATTCTAAAGCTTGTTAGGAGAGGAGGAGAGTTAGCTAAAAGGTTACATTTGGACCCAAATCTACATTATATGTTCTAATGCATTATCAGAAAATGACTCTGAAGAACTTATATTTGTCATGTATATCTGTGCCCTCCCCAGTCCCGTACTTCATTACCTTGAGTGCTTTCAGACCCATCTGCACCCCCAGAGCTAGAAAGTTCCCAGCATTTAGGAACTGGATTTCTTCCCGTGGCATTTTTGTTTGTTTTCAGGAGTCTCGATTTTCTCAGTGTGATGACCTACGACTTCCACGGTAGTTGGAGTTCAGTCACAGGACACAACAGTCCCCTGTACAAAGGCTCGATTGACCAAGTTCCCTTCTACAACGGTGTAAGAGAACAAACAACAGTGCAGGGCTGGATCCAAACCTCAGAGTCCTTCGATTGACTTCAGTGGGCCCATGGTCTTGTATTTGTCTAAGGCTAAGTCACTTAACAGTTAAGATATTTTTGTACCTGCTCTTACTGCTGTAGGCTTATGCTATGAAATACTGGAAAGACAACGGCGTCCCAGCTGAGAAGCTCCTCATGGGATTTCCAACGTATGGACGAACTTTCCGACTATCTACTGGGAATACTGGTGTTGGTGCTCCTGCTTCTGGTCCTGGTGCTCCCGGTGCTTATACCCGATCAGCTGGTGTCTTGGCTTACTTTGAGGTAAACATGCTATGACCATTATATAGGGAACTTATTTGTACTTGTACACGACAGAAATTTGTGCTCAAGAACAGAGCTGTTGGTCGCTTCGAAATCCCTTTGATTTTCCATCTTCCTAGCACAATGAATCTGGCTGTTAATGACATGCTTTTTCGGGCAGGTCTGCACATTTTTAAAAGGAGCTACCACCAAATGGATTGAAGCACAAAAAGTCCCATATGCCTTCAAAGACAGAGAATGGGCTGGATATGACAATGAGAGGAGCTTTGAGATAAAGGTTAGTCCCTGTCGTTTTTGTGTGACCTTCAGTAGAGGGCCTGGAAAATAGAAAAGCACCACTCTGAAAGACCCCCTGTAGATTAAGCACTGCAAACTTCCAGGCACAGGCATAGAACTGGTTCCTCAGGTGATGTAAATCAGGGTGGCTGAATGAAGTCAATGGAAATATATCAGTTGACACTGGCTGGGGATCTGACTCCATCGGGGATGCAATCATGATGTCACTCATCTTGGAAGGAACAAAGTAGGGAGCCAGAGAGAAGGTATTTCCTGTATGTTTTTATATGTGAAACTGCTCCAATGGGCTAAAGAAGATTTTGCAATAAAACCAGTATCACCAGTGGCAGGGGCTATACTGTAATTTAATTATAGAAGTCTGGCTGGAGTTAATGGGAGTTTAAGAGGAGACTTACCTATTTTTGAACCAGTTATTCTCTAAGGTGCCGCCATGCCCAACCTTCTGCCGTAGGAGATGAAGGTGATTTTCCACGTGTAGGCACACGCACGTAGGCAGAACTGACTTTAGTGAGCTATGCACATACATGTAACTGATGCCTGGCCTATAAGTCCTTAAAGATGAGCCTTCTTTATGTATCATCTGCTCTCCCCCTTCCAGGGCTGGATCACTCCCTGAGGCCCACTGCTATTTCATAGTTTCAGACTGCTGTGCACAAAGTGGTCTTGTTCTCTTTTTCCGCAGGCCAACTTTATAAAGGAGCAGCATTATGGGGGTGCCATGGTTTGGGCTCTTGGCATGGATGACTTCTCTGGCTCTTTCTGTGGGGCAGGAGCCAACCCACTCCTAAAGAAGCTGAAGACTGTCCTTGGAGACTGAATGCCAAATCACTGGCCCAGGAAAGAGCACCGCCATAAAGGGAAAACGCCTTATTTGTTATCTAGGGATGCAACCAAGGTTGACTCATCCCAAGGGCAGTTTTTATTTTGACTTCAGATGATACTAGATCCTAGTGCAGACTGAACATCTGTGTTTCCTAATCTGCTCCTCTAGATCCAAATAGCTGCAAATAAATCTTGGGCTCATAAAGTCTATGAAGCATCAAGGGAAAGGTTGAGTTTCTACCCGAGTACTGGTAGGAGGACAGCCATTCCTTATGCATTCACTCTGATCTTGTCCCAGTTTCAAATGCTGCCACAGGCTATGAATTAACACTCTCATAAACCAGAGATAATTTTAATAATGTGTACCATATGACACGAGAGGCCTAGAAACAAACCATTTCCTCCCCAAACTTTCAAACTCCGGATGTGGACTTGGACTTCCCAGCTAGCCCCTGGCCACAACAAATGCTGACTGCCCCTGAAGTTTCAGATATCTAGAGATGGAGCCATGTTAAAAGCTTCTGATTCTGTTTCATGAAATGAAAGCATCCCTCTGGCCACCCCCATTTCTGTGTTGTATCATTGCTGAGTGTTGGGCTTGCATTGGACGGGCTGTGCCTTGAAACCGTGGTTTAAAATGTCTCCAAAAATTCTGTAACCTCCTGTAGGAAACACCCTTGAATTGCTTCCCATCACTAATAAATGCAACCTAGAGCAAGATGACAGCTCGTGAATCCCTCCTGAGAGCCTGCGATGACTGCAGAGAATGAATTCCTTTCTGCTCTCTTCCCACCAGAAATGAAAGCCATTTTGTTATTTCATCAGAGCCTACTACAGGGATTCTTGTATCTTTGAAGCGACTGGCTTAAGTTACTGCTGGGAACAGGTCGTTGGACAGGCTGCTGTTCTGATTAAGCACAGCAATCCCTTGTTTTGCTTCCCAGATTAGCAGGGGTTAGGAGATCAAGCTCTCGGGGCCAAAGAGAATGGAGCTCCTCTGTGCATCTGATTTGAATTAGAAAAAGCTATTCTGAAGTAAAATTGGTTTCTGTCCTTGCGTGGAAAGAGACAGCTCGCTATGTTAGTGTGAAGGCAGGGCAGAGTGGCACCGCAGAGACTTCAACAGCAGCTGAAGTATGCCATTGCCTATGAAAACTTATGCCCCTCTCAACAGTGAGTCCAGTGGGACATAACCAGGAGCATCACGGTTAATAGGTGAACAGAGCCATCTGGCGCTGGCAGGTGGAGTCGGTGATCTTTCCACTACCAATCTCCATCTCACGCACCCACTACACAACCAAAGATGTTGGAGAATGGTCTAAACTTGACACTGAGCAATTTTTAAAAAGCAGAATGACCCTGAAGATGCACAAATGGAAAGGTTGACCAGTGTCTCGGGAAGAAGTCCGATGCTGTATTCAGGGAAACAATCTGGGGGAGAAGAGCTAAAAACAGGTTTGAGAGACTTAACTGGAAGGGTGAGGAGGAGATGCTCTGAGGAAGAAGCGACTCAGCTGTAGTACAAGCTCAGGTAGGCCAGTCGGTTCCGATGTTTCCTGAATTCTTTATCCGTAATGAACTAAAGTTACAAAATAAAATATTGAGATACATCAGCCTTTTTAAAACACTATGTTGTGAAATAGGACTGAAAGCAATAAGCAAATTTACAAAGCCTCAGCCCGAGTCCTTAGGGGATCTCTACCAGCTGAGCTCTACAAGGTTAACTATTAGTTGTGTTTAGCAATGGTAGGTTGTTATCCTGTACATGGAAGAGTCAATAAAAGGCCAGGTACACGTATCATGCTTGCATGTTCCACTGGGATTACCCTACCCTATGTAACCTAGTGTACTTTCCCCAGGTGCATTTTTCATTAATTAGTCCATGCATATCTTAATGATGACTGCATTAGCAGTTCCTGCTTCCTTCCCTTTGCTTCTAAGCTCTTGAGGGCTTGGATGTCTAGAATTTTTCCTCTTATTTTTGCACACAGCGTATGCGGCATGGTGTACAGTTTTTTTTATATCATACAAGTACTCAGCAGGAAACAAGTCTACCTGCTCCATACAGATTGGGGGAATTTCAAAATGATCCCATTTAATTGTGGGATAAAACAGATTTAAAAAAAAAAATTAGGAGGGAGAGAGACACTAGAATAAACCAATAGCTTGGGGAAGGCACTCATTTGGGGTGGGGGGACTCAGGGTTAGGGTCTGTGCTGAGTCTCCCTCATTTTGACCAGAAATCCCATCCTGGACGTAAGAAACCTCCTGATGAAAGTTTCATTAAAAATGATATATTCTCACAAACGGTGTCACTAGTGTCAGCACTCCCTCATTGAGCTCCTGCGTACAGAGCTGTGTATGCAAGCTACTCGGGGAAAGGTTAAGGAGGCTGGCGTTCATCTGACTAAGTATCTGTATGATTTCCTCTGTCTGCTAAGAGACGTGGTTGATCAGGTTATCTCAAGTGCAGAGAGTAACTCCTGAATGCTGTACCTCGGTTCTCAAAGTCCTCTCCTCCGGCACTGGTACTAATGACCAATCTGGGGAACCAAACTTCATGGGCCAAGTGATTTTCTTGTGGGGCTGCTTGTCTGCTTCGTAAGTTCCTGGTCTGAAAGAAGATGGATGCAAAACACCTCTCATTTCAGCAGTCGAGTTTATACTTTGAAGATAAGTGCCACATGAATCCCTTGGCAGATTTGCATATAACCTGCTTTAGGAAATCTTGAGTAGCCATGAGGAAGTCCCTGGATGCAGCCCTCCTTTTATATATTTAACCCGATCTTTTAGGCAGGCTCAGTAAATCTCATTTCAATTTCATTTGGACATTTCAAATGTCCAAAGACTCCGATAAAAGGGGATCACTGCGGCAAACCCATAGTGGAAAGGTGTTTGCAGATGATGATTTCTAAAGTCACAGGTGAAAACAATGGCCCACAAAAGAATGATGTGTGAAACGCATGAGAGAGGATCTGTTTGGTGCTATGAACATTTTCACTGTCTAAATAATCAGATTTAAAACGTCAAACAGTTTCTTCAGAGATTGCAGATACAAACCTGACAAAGGCTCGCTGTGCCCGTGGCAATATGTAAGCGTGTTAGTTTTAATTTTCATCCTTTTCTGTTGCACTCTGCTTCTGTTTCCAGAAGTGATTTTTTTTCAGCTCACCATAACCTAACTATTTGTTTTTTGTGTGAACATGGGTAGTTCGTGACTCTTCAGGGAGGGTGAATCATAAGACACAAGCCTACCACATAGAACTGGTGCTGAGCAAGCTCCATCCATAGACTTTAATGCTAACAGGGAACATCTATTCTGATCCCAATCTGGACTGGAGTTTTACTGACCTGTGCCAACATGTGGAGTAGCTTAGGTTTGTGGTTGAACCGGCACTTACATTTTATTTTATGAAAGAGAGAATTTGCTTCTCCCCTGCTTTGCACTTTGTGCATTTCATTTACATTGGGGTAAAAGAGGGAGCAAAATGCTAGAACTGGAGCACTTTGCATACATTTCAGTGATCAATTTTTAGGTTTAAAAAACTCCACTAAGTGAAAAGCAAAGGGACATCAGCCCCTTAACATTTAAACTCAGGTTTTTAGCAGTCTGTTGATTGGGCCTTTATGCTACCTTCTCTGCTGAAGATTGATAAGGGTTTCACTTCAGCAGTTTGCTTTTCAGAGTAAGTTGGGTTGATTTATCCTTTCTTGGCATTATTAGGACCTCACAAGGAGAGGTTCTCCTGTACCTTCCAAGGGTGGTTTTCAAAGTTATAAAGGGCAGTGAGGAACCTGCATGCTCGCATGATTGTGCCTTTGAAAACGTCCTTGTTTAGGTCTGTGCTGGGTTTTTTTTTAACCTTGTTACTAATGGAATGAGAAACCGATGTACTGTACCCAGGGAAAAGTTCTCTATCCAAGATCATCTTTGGGAATCGCGGTGTCTTGATAGAAAAGGGGGCATACGCAGGCTGAAACTTTCGGGGTTTGCTCCACGATGACTGGTATGCTCCAGGGTCGGGATGCTTGCTCTATTTGGAAGGGATCAAATGATTAAAAACAAATGCTCAAGAACATCCTAAAATGTTACTGCAATAAAATTCTGTAGTATGATAAAACTTGGACAGACATACCTCTGGCTGTTACTGTGCAATTGCAACGCCCATGGGTTTTAGCCAGCCCAAAGCACTGACAGCATAGCTTTGAAGGAAAATAGAGAACGCTTAACTTACCTTGGAGTCTGGTGCGAAACGGAGGGATGTCCTTGCTCCTATCACATAACCCTTGTTGCTTTCAGGCTTCCGAGTCAAGGAGTACACCATGGTATTTTTCTGTACACGAAAGGTAGACGCGTGCTCACTCAGTACCATTCAAGCCTAGTGGCTGTGCATTGGGATCTTGGGCCATTGCCCACTAACATAAAGCTAAAAGCTCAGTACCCTTCCAGATGCCATCCACATTTGTGCGTGACCAGCCAAAGCTCTAACCACAGTCAGTCTTTTTCATAAACGGAGGGCCCCTTTCTAATTCTCTTATTTACAGGAGCACGGATGGTCTTGCCACTACAGCATCTGAGTGGCACGCTGGAGAGATCTGGGTTTAGTGCCCGGCTATGGCACAGACTGATGGAGGGGAGGTGCAAGGTTTACCATGTTTCCAGTTTAAAAAAAGAGGACACCTGTTGGGGGGCAATGATATACCTGTGCCCTACCACTCCCAAGCCACAGCCCCCACCGCCAGCCCTGTTGCTGCCCTTCACTCCCGACCCACAGTACCCCACCCCCAGATCATGATGGTGCCTCTTACTCCTGACCTGCAGCCTCCCCCTTCCCTGCTGATACCCCCCACTCCTGACCCACACACCCCTGGCACTGCCTGTGCCCCGTGCTCCTGACCCACAGTCCCCTGCCTCCCTGGTGCCCCTCATTCCTCAGCCACAGCCCCCCCATCCCTGCCAGTGCCCCTCAATCTTGACCCTCAGCCCCTTGACCCCCCCCCCGGCCCTGCAGGTGCCCCTCACTCCTTACCTACAGCCTCCTGCCCCAGCCAGCTCTGCTGCCCACACAGCTCCTGCTGCCCACAAAGACAGCTCTCCCCCACACCCCCTTCCCCTGCTGGAGGGGCAGGCACCTCCCCTGCCTTCTCGCCCTGCTGCCTTCCAGCCCCTGGACACCTTAGGCACTCATTCCCCTTGCACACCCATCCCC